CACTTCCGCATCGACGCTCTCGGCATCGCGCACAGACCGCGCGTGAGTGCTGCGGACCAACGAGCAATCGAAATGGTGAGAAGAACTATGAAGAAAGTCGATGGCGGCTACGAGGTTGGTTTGCCGTGGAAAACCGACGGAACTACGATGCCTCCGAGCTACGAGGCAGCGCTACGACGACTACGCGCCATAGAACGTAAAATGGACGCCGATCCCGCCTTCGCCGAACAGTACACCGCCCAAGTGGAGAACCTATTCAACAAAGGCTACGCGGTGCCATGCGACGGCACTGAACAAAACAGCGCTGTTAGTTGGTATCTACCACACTTTGCCGTACAGAACCCGAACAAGCCCGGTAAGCAGCGACTTGTGTTCGACGCGGCGCACAAGAACCGAGGCGTGAGCCTGAACGACCAGCTGCTGGAAGGCCCGGACCTACTGCTATCACTGCAGGGCATCCTCTTCCGATTCCGTGAAAAGCCGATCGCCGTCACCGCCGATATCCAAGAGATGTTTCTGCAGGTGAAGATCCGACCGGACGATCAACCGGCACAGCAGTTCCTGTGGAGAGGGGAGAACAGAACTGACCCACCACGATGCTTCAAAATGAGGAGCATGATATTCGGCGCAGCCAGCTCCCCATTCATGGCTCACACAGTCCGCAACCACAATGCGATCATGCACGCAGAGACCCATCCGCGAGCATTAGTGGCAATTACTCAAAGCCACTACATGGACGACCTGGTGGACAGCTACGACAGTGAACACGAAGCTCGCGCCACCATACAAGAGCTACGTGAAGTACACGCAGCGGCCAGTTTCACGCTAAGGCGCTGGAGCTCAAGCCATCCGAACGTGCTGCGCGACGTCCCGACAGAACTCAGAGCAACTACGCCCACCGCGCTCGGGACGATCGAGAGTATGGAAAACAAGATCCTGGGACTCTACTGGAACCCGCAAACAGATGAACTCGGTTTCGACACAGCCATGAACCGGGTCCCAGCCGAGGTGCGCAACCAGAGCCGCGCACCCACCAAGAGAGAAACACTCAGTGCGGTCATGTCGATCTATGACCCGCTGGGACTGCTAAGCCATTACACGATCAGAGCAAAGATCGTGCTTCAAAACTATGGCGACTAGAAATACCATGGGACGAGCCGATCCCTGCGGAAGAAGCCGAACTCTTCGCATCCTGGCTGCGACAACTGAACGAAATCGCACGCCTGCACCTGCACCGGAACTACGCCCTGGAGAACCATGAGCACACTGAACTACATGTGTTCTGCGACGCGAGCGAACAAGCGTACGCTGCTGTGGCCTACTGGAGGGTTGTACACCAAGACGGTAGCGCGAAAGTGACCCTAGTTGGAGCAAAGGCTAAGGTGGCACCACGGCGTACACAAAGCATCCCGCGCCTTGAACTACAGGCTGCACTCATCGGAGCAAGACTCGCCGACACTATCAGGCGCGAACACCGCATCGAGATAAAGAAGACCATCTATTGGACGGACTCATCAACCGTAGTCCACTGGGTGCGTAACGACGCGCGACGATACACTCCATTCGTTGCACATCGGCTAGGAGAGATCGCCGAACTCACGCACAAAGACGAGTGGCGTTGGCTGCCGACCGCTGACAACCCAGCCGACGATGCCACAAGACAAAGCCAGACTCCAGTACGCATGGAAGACCGATGGTTCCAAGGACCCGGATTCCTACACGAACCAGAGGACCGGTGGCCCACAGAACAGGAACCTCATGAAGATGCAGAGGAAGTCCTGCACCTGAGCCAGCAGGACGAGAGCCACTTCGACTGGATGCCTGACCCGACCCGCTTCTCGAGATTCGAGACGCTAGTAAGAGCAACCGCGAACGTACTGGCTTTCACAGACATCTGCCGGAAGCGAGCGACCCGCATGGAGCTACAGCACATAGAACGCGCCGAACGAGCTCTCATGCAACGAGCACAGGAGGACGACTTTGGAGACGAGCTGAAGAGGATCAAAGCAGTTCGCCCAATCCCTAGAACGAGTCGTCTGTACAAGCTGGACCCCGTAATCGACGACGGCCTCCTGCGAGTACGAGGACGCATTGGAGCCTCAAGTGCGCCCTCCGACGCAAAACGACCTATCATCCTAGACGGTCGTCACCCCATCACGCGACTCATCGTATTGCGAGAACACGCCGCAGCAGGACACGCTAACAGAGAGCGAGTAACGAACGACCTACGACAGCGATACTGGATCATACGGCTACGACCCACCGTACGCGCCGT